GTACCATCTGCTGTTTATCATCTCATGAAACAGAAGCCTGAACATTTCTATAGTGCCAGTATCTCTTAAAATTGCTATACAAATTACAGTGCAAGACTATAGCATTCAAATTACATCAGAACTAAAAAGATCTCCCCCCAGTGATTAATATCACAGGCATTTAATGTACTTTAAAAAAAAATCTGTGGCGATCCCCTCTGAAGCCCCTATTCCCCAGGCCTTCACGAGGTTCTCGCTCTTCTTCTTTCTTCGCTGCTACCAGGTATTACTGCCTTAATACCATTTTATCAAGGAGACGTGTGTTTTTAAAACTTAAGTTATTTTATTAGATCAGGGAAGTTCATATAGGATTATTACTCAATAAGTAAATCACAGGTTGCTAATCACTTGTATTTAAGTCAATTCTACTTTAACTTTAAAACTCTATTAACTCTCTGTTCCATTCAGCGTTCTTACAGACCTCTAACTCACTCTAAGTTCACTTTTAAGTTTCACACTGTCTCTCACTCACAGAATTTCTCTCTCAGACTCCACACACCATCCTTTGTATCCAGCCCCCTCCCCCCTTGGCTCCACCTTCCGTCCTCCCATTGGCTCCTACTCCACTGTTTAGCTGTGATGGGCAGGTGAGGGCAGGGCTGTTCACTACAAATCCTTTAATGCTTATATAGGTACTTATGTGCAAGAGCCAATGATCAGGCATTAAAGGACAATCTTTCAACTATCACCCTTTCCCTTGAAATTAGAAGCTATGTATGAGTGAGGTGTGGATGTGGGAGGGTGGTGTATGTATATGTGTATAACTCACTTGTTGCCATTTTCTGTGGCCGTCAAGGCTCACAGTTCTACTGTGTTTTTTTTTAACTCACTAATTGTACTACTGCATAACAACAATAATCAGAATTAGCAGCATGTAGATTAAGTATTTAAGCCTACAGTTTCAGGGCTAGACAAGAAAAAGCTCATAATATGGTGCTAATATAAAAATATACTAGGTTGATACGGGGGGGGGGGCTCTCTACCCAGCAGTGATGATGGAATGTCACAAGAGCATAATATTACTATTTTGACAGGTCCATGCAGGAGACTGTAGTTTGAATGCCCAGGTCCTAAGTCAGAACTGGGCAACCTTCAAAGTTCTTGGTACTACACCCACATCCACAATTCTGAATTTGGAATCTCACATCCCTTGACCTCCATTCCCCCCATTTTTAAAACCAATGAAATCCCTGTAGTGGTTAATCTTTTTTAAAAAAATATTTTTTGCAAATTTGCTTAGGAGCTTTCAATACATGGCAAAATTGCTTTCCATGCCCCGTAGAGGGCATAAAGGTACATTTTTGGACACTTAAAAAAATGGAAGTATGGGACCCTGAGGGGCCCAGGAGTGATGGGAGACCACATTTTTGCCCTGAAGGAGCTGCATGCAGCCTGCGAGCTGTATTTGTGAACACCTGTCCTAAGGAGTGGAAAGATTAGATCCCGCTCTTGGAATTATGCTGAGATATGGACAGGGATTTTGTGCAGATATTTCAAAACTGGTGATCTGTGATCCCTTTATTTCATTCTCTAGCTGCACTACTTTGAACTGTCAGCATTTTCTGAAAAAAGTTATAGTGCCATAACAGAATAGTCCAAATAAGATTTCATTAGGGCATTGATAACTTGTGATCAATATATCTCTGCCAGAGATAAGCTGAAAATGTCACACCATCTTTATTTGGCAAAGGTTTCTGTGCATCATAAGGCTCAGGTAGTGACGAACAAGGCCAGCTCTATTAGCATCCTGAGAATATAAAAATATTACTTCAAAAGGTGTTCATCCCACCTAGAAGAAGTTAAATGAGCCACCTGTAAATCACAGTACTTTCATTCCATTACTGGTTCAAAGCAGTGATTCAGATTTTCCACAAATTTAAAAGAATTTGATGCAATGAGGGAAATGATGGGGAAAAAAGGATGAGGTCACTGGAAGTCCCAGCTTTACTATGTTGCTAAGAACTGATGACTGGAAACAGGTGCTTCAGAGCTATGGTGTCAGCAGCTAGGTCATTTCTGCATTCCATTGAGTGATCAGAATATCAACAAAGATGCCAGTTACACTAAGAGGAAACTCTTCCAAAGACTTCTGAAGTGAACATCCATACTTTTCCCAATGGAAGAACATTCTAGGTTTTCTTTACATAAACAGATTGCTTCTTTTCATTGCCATTAGATGTACAAACTAATTGTGCATTGTTGCATTAATTCTACAATGAAATATCAAATATCCATCCTTAAATATTTCAGAATTCAGAGCTTTCAAAACTCAGATACATCATATGTTTTGTAACAGGAGATTTCAAGGAGAAGTCAAGGTCATGATTCATATTCTCCCACCTCAAAATGTTAAAATTATTTCAGTGTGACAATTGAGCATGTCATTTAAGGATCTGTGTCCTTTGAAATCACTTAGATGTGATATCTTAATCTGTGATTTAAATGTGAGTCTTATCTGTACTGTATTTAACTAGGCTAAATTATCCCAAGTGTTTAACGAAATACTGAATGTGTGTTTCCCCGAAAATAAGGCAGGGTCTTATATTAATTTTTGCTCCAAAAAAACCCAGTGGGGCTTATTTTCAGGGGATGTTTTTTTTCCCCATGTACAACAATCTATGTTCATTCAAATATAGTCATGTCATCTTCTGGATGCTGCAAAGTGGTGGAGCGCGGGCTTTCACTTAACTAGGGCTTATTTTTAGGTTAGGTCTTATTTTCTGGGAAACAGGGTGGTAGTTTTTCAGAATGTCCACTAACAATGCGGTCCTATGTGTGATGCAAGAGCTGCTGAGCATGGTGCGGCATATTCTGAGGTACCTGAATTGCAGTCTTTGTTGATTAAATACAGGGCATCCCCCCCTACCCCACCCTGCATGGGTAGATACTGTTCCTCAAATCATTTGCCTTCTCCTTTTCCTTAATTGCATCTACGGAGCCTAAAACTGCTGAAGAAGTGTACTTAGGACTTGAAATTTCCCTTCACAAATTGCTCCTTGTGAGATACAAATCAAGTTTACACCCTCTACAATGTGGGCATCCTGCTCACTTTTGAGGTACTCCATTAGCACAAAATACTCAGGCAACGTTTGCTGTTCTGCATCGTTACATCTCATGTATGGAAACAGCGGGAGCTGCTGACACAACTATTTTAAAGTGCATTTCGCAGATAGTATATTCCCCCTCTTGAAATGAAGATTTCATTTTATTTAAATAGCTGTCAGGATTTTAACATTAATTTCATTGCTTCCAGGGTCATATCTCACTGATTACAAACTCAGTGTGAAAAGTGTGAAAAAGACACTTTTTGAAAAATGAGATGAGAATGAAAACTTTCTAAAGGGAACATAACACTCCGTCCCTATAATAATGTCATAATAGCTACACCTTTGGCTTCCTTATGTTTTACTATTTTTAAACTCTATTCCTTATACAGCTTCATGTTACCCTTCATCTGGCCCATTATTCACATTCATCAATTTGCTATTATAGAGAATGTTTGGTGGTAATAAAGAATGTATCCATAGTCAAATGTTTTTCTTCTCCAGGTCTTCCCATTTCATTTTATAGCATCCACCGTTTTGCATAGTTTTACAGTAATTAAAAAAGCAATCTAAGGGACAATCTGCAGATTCCCCCAGCACCGCTTTCTTGGTACTGCAAGAGGAACATATCAATGGAAAAAATTTGCAGGATACGATCTAATACCACATGCTCATACAATTAATGCCCATGCCTCAAGGTGTGGAAAGGAAGCATTTCCTTTAGAAATAATAATTTCAGGTTCTAGATTGAGAGGATACCTTTGTATAGAAATAAGTATCTAGCTCACCTACTATAAAAATCTGGGGACTGGTTTGTTTATATTATGCCACCTGTCTCCCCATAGGGGACCCATGACAATTAAAACTGTACAATGATCAACAGTTTTAAAATACCATAGAAACTATATTTTAAAAAACTCAACCAACCATTTATCAATATTAAAACAAAGATTAAAAGCAATTTTCAAAACACTTTTAAAAAAACATAAAAATCTTTAAATTCAATAAATATAGTATTTCTGTAGAAACAACCCCCCCCCCAAATTGCTCCAAAGTCTGGCTGAAGAGGACAAGAGGGATGTTTCTAAGGCATAAGCTCTTCGAAAATTAATTAGAATATGCAAAAGTATAAAACTGGGATTTGTACTCTTGATATCCTATATAAAATGACATGTAGTCAAGATTGCAAAGAATAGACATATTGTGTGAAATGAAGACAGTTGTCTTTGTGTAGAACTAAGTGCATTATAATCATGCAATCATTATTTAAAAGCATGACCCCACTTCTCATACCCCAAGCAACAAAACATGAACTTCACCTGGCACTTGCTACAGGGCAAATATTTGCTATTCAACTTACTTAGGTTTTCCCCACTGGCTCTTGTTATATATGTTACAGAATAAAATACATTTCCTGATGTGCAGGAGTTTGTTTCCATTCTAGCCATTTCTCCCAGTGCCTGCAAACTATATTCATGAATTTTCTATCCAATAATTTTTAGCTGCTTGTTTCCATTTCTAGGCTATGTGTGCATACACAGGAGAATAAAGTGTATTGAGCCTCAGCAATAGCAGTTGATAACCAACATAAGTTAGGACATAACAACAAATCACTTTGATCAAGCCGTGTTCCTAAAGAACCACTTCAGTTTCTTGTTGTAAAGCTTTTGAGTAGCAATGCCTCCCCTTAGTATAACATATGGAAGTGTCACAGAATGTCATAAAAGCATCACACCACACAAAATCATTCCTTTTTAAAAGACTGATATTACTGAAATCTGAGAGAAAGAAAAAAGCTGTTGGTTCTGCACTAACCTGCTTGTGGCTAAATAAAAAAATAATACTTAAATCACTTTTTTAACCATAAAGGATACACTGGCATTTCTAGGATACATATTTGTTTGGAAAATACATCCACATAAAGTCAATGTACTTGCTTTCAGGGAAATTTTATTACAGCTGCTTTCCAGCTCCTGATTTGTGCATGGAAAAAATACAGATGAGAAAAATTAAATGGCACAACTGAGGAGACAGACCACCAAGACTATTCCAAATGCCGTGCACATTTAAGGGAGCTGGTTTTTATCTTTGAGATAGCTGAAGAGTGTGTTGAGTCCTCCGTCTATAATCTGTGGCAATGGTTTAGACAAAGGATTGTGGGAAATATGGAGCCCCTTATCCATTGGATTCCAAGCAATTTTGGTCAAACGATGCAGCAAATAGAGTTCATCTGGGAGAGTTTGAATAGAGTTGTAATCGATATTTAAGAGCTCAAGTGCAGTGACTGAGCAGATAGACCTTGGCAAACTGCGAATGTTGTTGTAGTCGGCAATGAAGATCTGTAGGTTGACTAGAAATTGGATGCTGTCTCCAATGTTTTCGAGTTTGTTGCAACCTACATGTAAAAAATCTAGATTCCTTAGTGAAAAGACACTTAGGGGAATGTACATAAACCGATTGTTGCTAAGATTCAGCTTTCTTAGGTTTATCAATTCTGTGATGCTTGGAGGGAGATGGGAGATATAGTTGTGGGAGAGACTCAAAACCTCCAACTTCTTGCAGTGTCCAAGTTCTGTTGGTACTTCAGTCAAGCAATTCATATTCACAAATAAAACCTTCAAGTGCCTGAGCAGCCCAATTTCTTTTGGCAGAGATTTCATGCGATTCCCACATAGGTTTAGCACCACTAGTCTCTCAAGTTTCCCTAGTGCAGGTGGAAGAGCCACCAGTTGGTTGTGCGAAAGATTCAGTTTTTGGACCTGTGGCAATCCCCAGAGAAAGTCAGGAGTCCTTGTCATTCCCTTCATTATAAGACTCAGGCTGACATACTGTAGTCCACGCTTTAATAGTGCCTTTGGGTCTTTTCCAGAGAGAAGAGCTTCTTCCCACAGGGGTAGCTTCTGACTTCTCTTCAGCACCATCGTATTTTGCTTCCCTTGATCCTTGGAGCTCTTTCCACCCATATAACCTCCAGCTTTGCTACTTCTGTTAACTGAAGCTTCGTTTTGTTGCCTCTTGCGATTAATAGCAGATGAAAAAATTTGGCTTCCAGAAGATTCATAAAACGAGATCGATCCAAGAAGATGTGCAAAGACTCTGAAGAGCACCTTTCCTCCTGAAGGGCCTCTGCAGCTGCCGAAAAAAGGTTCACTTTTCCCGGATGGGGCTTTAAGATGTTTTCTTTGGTGTTCTATGCTGTAATGACACACTTGCTACTGACACTTCTGAGCAAATGACTTCCATTCAAATTAAATACCACAAGGCAGCTGTCACTGTCATTTTGTCTGGAACTTTATTGGATGAGTACGCATCCTCATTGCACAGAGGTCACCACAATGCTGTATATAACTTCACCATGTCAGCTTTCTTGGATATCTGGTACATGAGGTAGCAGCAGGACAATTAGGAAGAGTAACTATAAAAAACCATGAAGATAAGATGACCCCCCCCCTTCAGTACTGTTTATTCAGCTGAGGAACAACTTTCATATTCACTCCAGAGTGTTTATGGCTCAGTTTTTAAAGTTTTTGAATTCTTCACATAAACTTGATTTGGGGCTTCCAAGAAAATTAAATCTTATTACAGATTTTGTGATGACTTTTAAAACTCACAGAAAACCATTAGACCAGCTTCATTCATATACTGTAAAATGAAACCAAAAAGTTCTATTTTAGGAGTTTCACTCTCTTTAACGTAGCTGAGCTTTAGAGATGACTGAATTCTCTGCTGCCTATCCTTGTTTAATCTGGAAATGATTCAAAGCCTTAAATACAGAGAGCGAGAGAGTGAGAGAGCGAGAGAGAGCAGAAGGAATTTAGGTACATTTCCAAGTTAATCCAAGGCTCATCCAAGCTAGTTCCACTAATGATCAAATTACTCCCCATGTCAGCCCACCACCATCAAAATGCAACCTTATTTTCTGTTCTTGGAGTCTCCAAAGCAGTAAGGAGTTGCAGGAGAAGGAAAGTTAGAGTACTTGCTCTCTCCCCTTCCTCTCCATGACTCTGACGTGCTGTAAAGCAACATGTCAAGAGCCAAAGGAACCTGTCAAGTGTTATCTTCTTCTATGAAGATAAATGCAAAAAAGACAAGAATTACTTCTCCTACTGTCTCAGCCTTTGTGCATCAAAGGTAATGGATGTTTTCATTGGTTAGTAGATGGTGGGAGGTGTATTTGGCCATGAGAATATTGCTATGGAGTGGGAAGAGAAGCTGCTTGTCCTCTGTCTGGTTAAAGATTAAATAATCATCTCTCATTTAGGGTGGGCTTTTCTGAGTCTCTGATATCCTCCTTTGAAACAGAGCTTGGAAAAGTCTGTTGCATCCATGGAAATTGTTAACAAACTGTAGTGCCTAATTCAAAATGTTGGAAGAAGTCCTGAAAATGGTTGGCATGGCATTTCAACCACTAACAAAACATATATTTGCCAAGATGCTTCAGAAGGTTTCTATCACTACTATTTATTTATTTGTGCAAATCAGAAAAAAGGATCTATATAGCAGGGTTATATATTAAGGACTGACTAGGTGCCTCTTTGACCCGAGTGACTGGATAGTATTTGACATAGGTTAAGGTATCCCCTATTCAGCTTAAGCAACAGGTGGAAGAGATGGCAGAGCAGGCTAAGAAATAATTGGCCAGCCAGCCAGCCAGCCAGCCAGCCAGCCAGCCAGCCAGCCAGCCAGCCAGCCAGCCAGCCAGCCAGCCAGCCAGCCAGCCAGCCAGCCAGCCAGCCAGCCAGCCAGCCAGCCAGCCAACCAACCAACCAACCAACCAACCATAAATCAAAATCAAAATAAGAATGTATTAATTGAACAGTCATTTAGCTCTGAACTGATATGTCCCAGTTCAATTGGAAGTTATCCATGAATATCAGGGGAAGCAACCCTTGTGGAATAAGATAGACCTTTAACCATGTGTATATAGAGAGGATGCTAATCCAGGCTTCTTCTTTTAGGCACCTTGTCTCCAGTCTTATCCTGGCATTTGAGAGACATCTAGGGACCTGTAAATGGTTCTTAAAAATTTGGATTGTACTCTTTTCTGAGGTGCAAAATGAGCATTGACTAGCCCTAAGAATGACCCGTATAACAGTTAGGATAATGTCTTGGCCTTATAGAGTTTTAGCGCTGCTGAAACAAATGCACTTCCTTGAGAGTACTGTAATTTTACTATCCTGTTTGCTGATATTTCTCCTTGGTCTGCAGCGTGTTTGCTGTATTTGAGCTCTAAGTTCTACAAGCGTAGAGCCTGAAGCTTGTAGAACTACCCCAAGATATTTAGTTTTTTACCTGCTCAATACAGTTTTCATTTATTGACCATACTCTCTATTTTGGTCTATGCCCAAAAGCAACAGTCTGGGTTTTCTGGAAATTAATTGTCAGGGATTCATCTTCAGAATAAGAGGAGAGCTTTCTCAAAGCCCTCCTCAGCCCAACAGGTGTTCTAGAAAGTATTACTGTGTCATCCGCATATAGTAATACTGGGGGTGGGTGGGTTTGAATATCAAGAGTATTTAAGTAGTTGGGAAGGTAATTTATATAAAAATAGATAATGCAGGTGCTGAAATACATCCTTGCCTGACACCTCCATAGGTTTGGATTTGTTGTTTAGTCGTTAAATTGTGTCTGACTCTTCAAGACCACATGGACCAGAGCCCATGTGATAATGGTCTTAGCCTCCCCATATATACACATGCTTCCCCATTCCTTTGCCATAGCAAGGAGGCATTCCAAAGTTTTTACTGCTATTCTTTATGAGTACAATTTGTTGTGTGATCAAAAGTGGGTGCATCGTTTTAACTATTTCTTGTTGTTTAGACCCCAAGGACCAGAGCATGCCAGGCCCTCCTGTCTTCTACTGCCTCCTTCAGTTTGGTCAAATTCATGTTGGTAGCTTCAATGACACTGTCCAAACATCTCATCTTCTGTCATCCCCTTCTCCTCTTGACTTCACACTTTCCCAACATCACGGTCTTTTCCAGGGAGTCTTCTCTTCGCATGAGATGGCCTCAGCTTCAGGATCTGTCCTTCCAGTGAGCACTCAGGCTTGGTATCCTAATGGATAGGTTTGATCTCCTTGCAGTCCAGGGGACTCTCAAGAGTCTCCTCCAGCACCACAATTCAAAAGTATCAATTCTTCGGTGGTCAGCCTTCTTTATCGTCCAGCTCTCACTTCCATACATCACTACTGGAAAAACCATAGCTTTCACTATGTGGACCTTTGTTGGCAAGTTGATGTCTCTGCTTTTTAAGATGCTGTCAAGGTTTGTAATCATTATCCTCCCAAGAAGCAGGCGTCTTTTAATTTCGAGGCTGCTGTCCCCATTTGCAGTGATCATGGAGCCCAAGAAAGTAAAATCTGTCACTGCCTCCATATCTTCCCCTTCTGTTTGCCAGGAGGTGATGGGACCAGTGCCCATGATCTTAGTTTTTTTATGTTGAACTTCAGACCATTTTTTTTGCCCTCTCCTCTTCCACCTCCATTAAGAGGTTATTTAATTCCTCCTCACTTTCTGTCATCAGAGTGGTATCATCTGCATATCTGAGGTTGTTGATATTTCTTCCAGCAATCCTAATTCCGACTTGAGATTCATCCAGTCCAGCCTTTCGTATGATGTATTCCTTGTCGTACTCCTTTCCTAATGTTGAACCAACCAGTTGTCCCATATCCAGTTCTAATTGTTGCTTCCTGTCCCACATATAGATTTCTCAGGAGATATATAAGGTGGTCAGGCACTCCCATTTCTTTAAGGACTTGCCATAGTTTGCTGTGGCCTACACAGTCAAAGGCTTTTGTGTAGTCAATGAAGCAGAAGTAGATGTCTTTCTGGAACTCTCTGGCTTTCTCCATAATCCAGCACATGTTAGCAATTTGGTCTCTAGTTCCTCTGCCCTTTCAAAATCCAGCTTGTGCTTCTGGCGGTTCTCGGTCCATCTGGTTTTTCCCTTTCTATTCTTTTCTTCTATTTCTTTGCACTGTTCATTTAAGAAGGCCCTCTTCTCTTTCCTTGCTATTCTTTGGAAGTCTGCATTCCATTTTCTTTACCTTTCCCTATCTCCCTTGCATTTTGTTTCCCTTCTCTTCTCTGCTATTTGTAAGGTCTTGTTGGACAGCCACTTTGCTTTCTCACATTTCCTTTTCTTTGGGATAGTTTTCGTTGCTGCCTCCTGTACAATGTTACAGGCCTCCATCCATAGTTCTTTGTGCACTCTGTCCACCAAATCTACTTGTTAAAATCTGTTCTTCACTTCTGCTGTGTATTCATAAAGGATTTGGTTTAGATTATACCTGACTAGTCCAGTGGTTTTTCCTACTTTTTTCAGTTTAAGCTTGAATTTTGCTATAAGAAGCTGATGATCAGAGCCACAATAAGCTCCAAGTCTTGCTTTTGCTGACTGCTTCTCCATCTTTTGCTGCAGTGTACATAATCAATCTGATTTTGGTGTTGCCCATCTGGCGATTTCCATGCGTAGAGTCAACTTTTATGTTTTTGGAAAAGAGTGTTTGTGATGACCATCTTGGTCTCTTGACAAAACTCTATTAGCCTTTGCCCTGCTTCATTTTGAACTCCAAGGCCAAACTCCAACTTTCCTGTTGTTCTTTTTATCTCTTGACTCCCTACTTTAGCATTCTAGTCCCCTATAATGACAAGAACATCTTTCTTTGGTGTCAGTTCTGGAAGATTGTACGTCATTATAGAATTGGTTGATTTCAGCCTCTTCAGTAATGGTGGTTGGTGCATAAACTTGGATTACTGTGATGTTGAAAGGTCTACCTTGGATTTGTATCGAAATCCTTTTATCATTTTTTATATTATATCCCATACAGCTTTTCCCACTCTTTTGTTGACTATGAGGGCTACTCCATTCCTACTACGGGCTTCTTGCCCACAATAGTAGATATGATAATAATCTGAATTGAATTCACCCCTTCCTGTCCATTTTATTTCACTGATGCCCAGGATGTCAATGTTTACTCTTGCCATCTCCTGTTTGACCACATCCAGTTTACCAAGGTGCATAGATCTTATATTCCAGGCTCCTATGCAGTATCTTTCTTTTGCAGCATTGGACTTTCCTTTCACTTCCATGCACGTCCACAGCTGAGCATCCTTTCGGCTTTGGCCCAACCACTTTATTAGCTCTGGAGCTACTTGTCCTTGTCCTCTGCTCTTCCTCAGTAGAATGTTGGACGCCTTCCGAC